AAAATTTATTACCTTTACAACAACAACAACAACAGCAGCAGCAGCAACAACAACAACAACAACAACAGCAACAGCAACAACAATTACAAAATCAACAACAACAATTGGCTGCTCAACGGCAGAGAGCTCAAATGCAACGACTAGCTCAACAAACTCAACAACAAATGATGCTTCAAATGAGAAGACCTGTTCAAAATACTGCGCCTTCACAGAATGTACATCGTCCTTCAAATAATAATAATCAAAAACAAACTAATGATTCTAATTCTAAAAAGCCTCAACAACCAACTGTTAAACCTTATGAACCTGCTCCTGATCTTACTCCTGTTCAAAAAGAATATTTGGAGCAATATGTTCGTCGTGATAATTTATATCAAAAAGCTTTAGATCTCCAACATAGAAGACAAATGGCTATAATAAATGAAAAACGTAAAGAAATAGCTCAAGCTGAACAAAGATATCAATTTCGATCTAGTCCTTTCGTATTTGGTCCTGGTTATCAAGGTTATGGAAATGGTATAACCGGAACAAAGTTTCGTATTATTTATCCAAGCGAAAGAAAAAGGCCTAAAAGAACAAAGGAATTTAAATTGTATATATATATATATATTTTTCAAATTTATTTTTTTAAAATTTATTTATTTATTTTATATTATTTTATTAAATCTATTTATACGATCTAACGAGTTTCAATTTTTTTTTTTTTTTAGCACATTACAACAATTAAGAGATATCGCGCAAAAAGAAGATATATTAGTTCCGATAAGATTAGAAATTGATGGAGCTGATGGTTACAAATTACGAGATACTTTTACATGGAATATGAATGGTAGACGCCCTTTTATATATTACTTTGACTTTTTTATAAAAATAAAAAAAAATTAGTTAAAAGTTAAAATGATGATCATTTAACTTTATGGATTTATTTTGTGTGGTGAATATTATATTGACTGATCAGAAACGTTTATTACGCCTGAACATTTTGCGGAGGTTCTTTGTGATGATTTACATTTTCCCCCTTCACAATTTGCTCCGATCATTGTCAAACAAATACGCGATCAATTACAAGGTTATATCATTCATCCTCTTTCATCAACGGAGCCTCCTCAACCTACTTTAACTGCTGAGGTTTTTTCGGCTTTAAAAAGTTCTACCGAAGACTCGATAGAGATCAAAGAGGAAATTGATGAATTTTCAAATTTCAATACGGATGATCAAAATTCTTATGAAGAACTTCGAATTTTAATCAAGGCAAGCTTTATATATACATATTTATATTTATATTATTTGAATTTATTATTATATATCAATCAATGTTTATAATTTTATTTTTTCTTTAGATTGACGTGACTGTTGGTAATATATCGCTAGTGGATCAATTTGAATGGGACATTAATTGTCAAAAAAATGATCCTGAACTTTTTGCGGAAATTTTGACCACTGAATTAGGTCTCGGAGGTGAATTCAAGTATGTTAATAATCTCTTTATTATTTGATTTTATTTTATTTTTATTTTACTGTTGATAATTACACTTTAATATAATATGTTTTATTATCATTATTGTTATTATGATTTTTCTTTTCTTTTTTTTAAAAAAAAAAATTAATTAGAACCGCAATAGCACATTCTATTCGGGAACAAATTCAAATATATGTAAAATCTTTAATACTGGTAGGCCATCCTTTTGATGGGTCACCTATACAAGACGATGATCTTCGGCAAAACTTTTTACCTCCAGTCACTAACATAATTCGAAGGGAGGATGCCGTTGAACAACATACTCCATTTTTGGTAGAATTAACTGAAGCTGAAATTGATAAAATTGAAAAGGATAGAGAAAGAGATGCTAGGTTGAATACAATCCTATTTATCGTAAATTACGTAAATTTTATTTTTTTCTCACTAAACTCTTATTTCATGTTAGGCGTAAGAGACGTCAAACTCGTGGTAGACGAGGTGTTATATTACCAGATCGTGAACCTCCAAAAACTCATCGTACACTTCTCCATAATACTACTGTGGTTCAAGATCCCGCTGATGAAAATGTCTTTTTAACGGTTCCTTCATCAGGCATGCCACCAGTTTTACGTAAAGCTAGTTCCATGGGATATGATAATTATACTGCAATATCTGAAAAGTCTTTAGCTCCTGGTAAAATGCGAGGAAGAGGACGTGCTACTGTTGGTGGTGCAAATATTGGTAGTAATTTGAGAGTTGGTACTCCGGTAAATGCTCTGGACTCTGATTCTAATACTCCAGAGGGTGCTAAAAAACTTCATCGACGTGAGTTAGGTCCATATTTGGTTTCATTTTTATTATAACATGCTTTTAAATTAAACTGATATAAATAAACATCTCTTACAAGTATAAATTGTTAAAAATTATGAATTAGATACTAAGATTTTTTTATATAAACATATATATTATATACACACAACGCATATATATATATTTTACAGGATTAACGAATAAAGATTTAGATGAATGGCATTGTAATGGTTGTGGATGTCCTTCAACATCAACGCCGCTTCTACGAAAAGGGCCTAATGGAGAGAAGGTATGAAAATTTGGATTTTCACTTACTTTATTTACTTTATTTATCTTATTTATATATTATTTATATTTTATTTATACATTATTTATATTATTTATATTATTTATTACTTCGAATTTAAATTATCAATTTTTTTTTTTTTTTGTTTTAGACTCTGTGTAATGCGTGCGGTAAGTCCGAGAGTACAATAAATGATCGGATTAATCTCGAAGATTTTACCGCGTAACTTGGCCACATTTCCTACGTCGATTAAATTTGTATGCCATTCACACACGTCGACCTTTTCCTAATCGTCAGGCCTCTACTTTCAAAAGAACAATTCACTACGGCCGAATCCCTTGAATTTAAATGATCTCGGAACAAATTCACCGTTTATGGAGAATAACCCTTCGTCCATCGATCTCTTTTCAAAAAAAGGTCCACAACATATTGAGAGTTACCATCAAAACTCACCTTCGATGTCAATATCAAATACGTCGTTAGAAGTTAAGCAACAATCCAATACTTTGGTTAAGAGAGAAATAAATGCACAAGATAATCAAAATTTAACTGATTCTCAAGGAATAACTTTGAATACTGTTGTATCCGAAGGGTTGGTGTCTGCGCCCTTAATTCAACCTGTTCCGTCAATAATGACGGCAACTTCGATACCTTCAACATCTACCACTCATGCAATTACTTCTACATCTGCGAATGATTTACCAATGTCTACAACATCATCAACCATAACCGTTTCCAATGCGTTACCATCTAATAGACCGGTAATTCCTCATTTCTCATTTTAAAACGCGACTGCGGTTTAAAAAAAAAAAAAAAAAATTG